ATAAAATTAATCCTATAAATTTATAAAATTAATCCTATAAATTTATAAAATTAATCCTATAAATTTATAAAATTAATTTAAAAATTTTTTTTATCAAATTTGGTTAAAGTCTTGTTAAGTTATTTTTATTATAAAAAAACTTGCTTGATTTCTATTGACTCACATTATTAACACACAAGTGCTATAAACTACCAAATGAAATATACTAAATTTCTGCTTGTTAGGAGGAATAAATTCATGGTTGTATATTTCTGTACCTTAATTTCTTTTTCTTAAAACGCTTTTATTTTTTTTCGAAAATTCGGTTAACAAGTCTCGAAAGTTTTCTGACGGTATCTCATTTAGATCTTCGAGCTTTTTAATCCACTCGCTGGCGTCTACAGCATTTTTATAATTGAATTTTAAATCGTTGTTGGGTTGGTTTAATCCATCATTCTTATAGAGATGAAAGATATTTGGTAACGCGATTTCAAAAAAGGGTCGAATTATGTCGATCGCACGAGATCTGGTCAAATACTGCAAGTGTGAAATTCTAAATGGTACATTTTCCTTACAATAATCACGATACAAAGAACGAATAGCTTTAAATGCACTGTCTGTCATGTCACCAGGAATATCTTGACCAGGATTCTGTTGAAGATACAAGTCTGCGCAAATGCGAGATTCAAGGATGTCATCAAAGCATTTTCTGGTTATTTCTGCACATGGGCCAAATATTTCAATAACCCATCTGTAAAATATAGGAGATAATGTAAGGAATCTATATTTAATTGGATCTTCTAATCCATGGAGACCAACTTTATGCATATCCAAAATTTTCATTATAACCTCCTCTTTATTGTTTTGATCGATTTTTGAATATAAAAAGTGTAACACATCTTGTTTTTTCAAGTTTTTTTCTGGTTTTATGACTTCTCCAAGGCAATTACTTGCAATTGTTGTACTGGATTCATTGCATACATTTCCAAATGATTCCGTTAGCGTATCACCAATAATTTCAAGACGACTTTCAAAGATATGATAGGCGTCGGACATTACAAGAACTGTTAATTTAAATCCAAGGTCTATAAGCTCTTTAAGCCTTGATGTTACCATATCCACGTTTGGACAAATCCAATTATCTGTCTTTGTCGGTGGGAATAAGATTAAAAGTCCTCCTTGTAAGACGAGGTCATTAACGTCATCACATATATCAGTGTATCCAATGCCTTTCCACATATTTACCAATGGTAGATGAATCAGAATCGCTCTTGCCATTACATTCAATTGTCTGTTATTCTCATACCCGTCTTTAGGTGGATATTCTTCATTTGTATGCAATTGGTGCGAGTACTTATTTGTATCTTCATATTTTACTTTAGGCCTTGGTGGAAAAGGATAAAAATGCTTATTTCTAATAAGATCCTCTATTTGCTTTAAATTACTTTTTAATTTTGCTGATGCTAAATTAATCACTAAGGGCCCTGCAGACAGGAAATGAAAAAGTTCCATATCATTTCCTTTTGCAGCAATATCTTGTTCACTATACTTGGCGTATCCCTCACTCAAAATATATGTAAATACTTCAAGAGGAAGATTGCTTGCCCATGGGCATCCAATCGACTTTTGAAATGCACGAACTCGTCCGATATCAGCAGTTCTTACGTTATATTTAATTTTAAGTTCTATGAGTTGTTGGTCGTAGCTTCCATAATGCATCAAAAGGCGTTGGATAAAATAGCGGGACATATTTGCGTCTTGAGCTAACAAGCATTTTATTACGTCAACAGTCACAAAAGACGGTCCCAATCTAATCGCATGGAATAGAGAGTGAGATATTCCATATTGTGTAATTAGCCATGCTGCTCGTGTACACGGATCCCTAAGAATAATGATTTAAAATATATGATTAAAATCAATTCTTTTTTTTGCTTAGACTAGAGGTGTGACCAAAATCTAGCCGTTTTTTACTACAGATAAATTCTGATCTTTTATTCTAAAAGAGTTTGGACAACATCTTATTTTTTTGGGGTAGTGACACATTATTGCAAAATTCATATTTTGAGACTTAATACGGTCAAGGTTTATAAATGCCGTATTTGCGCGAATTAACGTCATGAGCGTTATTTAGGACACAAAGTTTGAAGAGAGCTAATGATTAATTAGGCCAAAGACTTTTAATAACAAAAAATTATAATTCGCACTCGAATAAATTAGTTATGAGTTCTCTTCAAGTTATTTGTCCCTAAATAACGCCCATGGACGTTAATTCACTCAAACACAGTGTAGCGGTCGCGAAAAATACTCGAGAACAGCTGATTCAATTCTATGATTTGATGCTTAAACTAATACTACAAACTATAGGACTTGTTTAAAGGAATACTACAGACTGTAGGATTTATTTAAACTCAAGATAATCAAAAATGGAACGAAGCACTCGGAAAATGTGCCAGGTTTGTGGCGCAGACGAAATTCTTAAAATTCGTTAAGATAAGGGTTAGGGTCATGGTTAGGAGTTGGAGGGGAATAGTTTATATGGTAAAATTATCCAACGAAACCATTTTGTTAGAGCACAAAAGGTGGTTTCTTATGCTGATTTTTTTGAGTTATGGGGGATTTTTGGCAGAACGAACGTTTGTTCCGAATCTTCGTGATTGTATTACGTTACACCTAATCACCTAATCTTGAAATCTGATTTGTAGTTCGGGATCTGCGCCACATTTGCTACTGTTAAAATGAAACTGCACTCGGAAGGTGTAACCAGGTTTGCGGCGTAGTTCTCCTGAACTACGAATCTGATTTCAAGGTTAAGAACAAACGTTCGTTCAGCCAAAATCGCCCATAACTCAAAAATCAGCATAAGAAACCACTTTTTGTGCTCTAACAATGTGTTTTTGTTGACCAATTTTACAATATAAACTATTTCCCTCTAACCCATAACGAATTTTAAATTTGTCTGCGCCACAACCTGGTTTTCCGAGTGCGAGTCTGAAGTCACTGTAAACAAACCATTATTTTATTAGTTAGTACAAATCATCAAAAATTAATCAGTCATTCTTGAATTTAATGCATCACTGCATATGGGCTGATTTATACTTGTGGCCGAAATGTTCGACCATTTCGGCCACTTGGCAACAAAGTTATCAATAATTTGTAAATATTGATAGAAATTAGGCTTCATATATGTTAAGCCAGACCCGCAGAACCTTATGCAAGCCCTTTTTGTATTTCGGCAAGACCTTTTGGTATTTCGGCAGACTCCGGAAGTTTCGGCTATATATTAAGTACGGATTTTCGAAAATTCTGGAGTCTGCCGAAATATCAAAAGGTCTTGCCGAAATACGAAAAGGGCTTGCATAAGGTTCTGCGGATCTGGCTCGACATATAAGAAGCCTAATTTCTATCATATTTACAAATTATTTATAACTTACTTTGAATATTTGTTAAGTGGCCGAAATGGTCGGCCACATGCATAGGTTGATTTTTAGAATTTTGCATTTTTTTAATCTTGAATAATTTTTGATCTACTGGTCCGTTTTAAATGAAATAACTACCAAAATGTTCGTTTCAATGAGGCGATCATTTTTGCAGATGTTCTATCCAAAACGGACCAGTAGATCGAAATTATTCAAGATTAAAAAAATGTAAAATTCTAGATGCTGGTAAAAATAGTAAAAATGGTGAGATTGATAAAATGGTGAAACGTTCATTATTAATGATTAATATTTGACTAATTTTATTCTCTATACTTATTTATACGATTATCAATGTTCTTATTTCCATTCATACGTCTATACCTATTCATTTCTACTTTGGTAACGAGCTTTTAAAAGTGTCGTAAAACTTATAAAAAATTGGTTATCAATTGTGTAACCAGATCGGACCACTTCGGTCGTCGGAATATTTCGGATCATCTAGCTGTATACAAATTATAATCGTATCTCGTACGGGATCCAAAAAAAACCATGCGAACTTTTTTGTAGGGCGAATTTTACTATTTATCGCATATGCTCAAACTAATTCGAATAATTGCTCTGCCATTCTTGTATACAACAGGAATTTTTATAAAACCAGAGTATTATGACGAATAGATATTGATCTTTCATAGTATCGCACCAAAAAGAATCTTAAGTTCATTTAAGTTAGGGTTAGTACTTACTGTATGGTAAATGTAAGTGTACATGTCAGTAAAACCGCCCGAAGAAACTTCTTGTTAGAGCACTAAAGATGCAGATTTCTGAGTTATAGGCGATTTTTGGTGGTGATACTGGAGTAGTTGTTAAGGGAAATATTCATCTGTGCGAGTGATAAGGAAATTCAACATAAAAATAAACTAAGTTCGTGAAATTAAAATTTTAGGGTTAGGACGTTAAGGTTAGAGGCGATAGAAATAAATAGTCACTCTTACATGTAAAATATCATTCCTGTCATTTTTTTATTCGTGCTCCAAGACGGGTTTAAACACTCGTTTTCCTGTTTTTCTTCGCTTTGCTCACGTGTCGAGCTGCTAATTTCCCTTTTTGAATTTGTATCACACAAATAAGTGCACGCGTTGTTAAGAATAGTGAAGCAACCAAAATTCAACAGATCGACCCAAATTTAGGGCCGAAATAGGGGCTGGCATTAAGCAATAATACCAGTCAACTATACTACAATAAAATTATCATCTGGGCAGCCTTACTTAGTACGTGGGCTACAACCGCCATCCAAAATTATTTCGAAGTAAAATGTTGATTGTTTAGTTAGGGTTAGGGTCTTTATCCTAGGCTTGAGTTAGAAGATATTATATATATCAAAATTTTTGCAAGGAAAAATTTTTACTAATGCGCCACTAATCTATCCAGTTGTTAATCAAAACAACAACCTTACAATAGTCTTCAACCAAAAAATTAATCTATGTTAGGGTCAGAAAGAATTAAGTATAGATAGGTTGGGATCAGAAAGAGCAAAAATTTCACGAGGAACATTTTTAATTTCTAAATAGACATTAGTATCTCACCCACAAGGTTTCCGGCACGTGACTTTTAGCCAATTATATCGAAGGATCGGGTGTAACGTAGAATTTCGAGTTAACAGCGATTTTTTAAAGACGTAATTTCCACGTTACACCTGCTCCTTTAATCTAATTGGCTAGAATCACGATCCGGAAATTTTTTTGTGGACAGTGCTTAGCGGCTAGGGGAGAGGATTTCATATTATATCATGTGATTGCACTGTCCCTAAGCACTGTCCGTAGCTCACCCACAAAAATTTCCGGAACGTGATTCTAGCCAATTAGATTGAAGGAGCAGGTGTAACGTGGAAATCACGTCTTTAAAAAATCGCGATTAACTCGAAATTCTACCTTTGAAACTGCCTTCTGCGTTCTAATAAAAAAAATTATCGTGAAATTTTAGTATAAGCTATGTCCTTAATCCTAACCCTAAATATGATTCTTATAAAATTTTTCGCTTAATTCGATTGTTTTGATTTTACGTTACATCCGATCCTTCGATATAATTGGCTAAAAATCACGTGCCGGAAAATTTTGAGGGTGAGCTACTACGGACCGTCTACGGACACGTACTGATTCACGTGATTTGCACGTACCTATTATAAATCTAGAACCTGTCATGTGCTAAAAATACTTACCCTAAAGTTAGGGTACGTGCAAGTCATATGAATTGGTACGTGTCCGTAGATCGTCCCGAGCTACTAATGTCTCGATGACTACTAGATCACGAGTAGGTTACAAGTTAATTACGACGGCTAGAAGCCATTTACTAGATTTAACTTATTTTCTTTCATAGGTTATGAATTAAACTTATTTTGATCATGATTTAGCACGGGTTGCTTATTGGAGAATTTCAAAGATGTAAATTTTAAGACCGGTTAATGACTGATCAGTAAACGGTTGAAATTTTGCATAAATAATCTTTACTCCTGAGAAAGTTTATTGCTTTCAATAAGAAACCTATAATATATCATTATCATGAATGAGCTTATTTTAACCTTTGAAAAAAAATAACATTAAATTTAATAATTGACTCCTGACCGTTATAACTGACTTGTAACCGTTGACATCCTTAATGACGAAACACCAAATAATTACTTTTGTGACTCAGTGATCCAAACTAAGTGATCCTTACATCAATAGATTTCTCTCACCAAGAGGAATCATTGGTATAAGAATCGCTTAATTTGGATCTGAGTCGCGAGATATTTGAAATACTATAGTTAAGGGGTATTGTGACGAATCGTTCAGTGGTTCCATTGAGAAATACACTCTCTGATTCACCTTTTATAAGACTGTCGAATTTCATATAAATGTATTAGTTCAATGATGAATGACTATTTAATTTTCAAAAAAAATAATAAGGATTTCTTTAGATCTGTGTATAATGACACTAGATTGTCCATGCAATCTTACCATAACTGTCATCATTTTTCAATTAATTAAATGGATCCATTCAATTATAAGTTCATACGAATAGGTTCTAGACTGAAATATTTTACGCAATCATCAATCTCTTTATTCCTACTCGACCATCCTTGAGTTGTTATGTCAGGATCACATGTCCGATATTATACTTCATACTGCTATATTCATCACAAAGCGCAAATTCTCTATTATATCTTCATAATAGTCAATTGTATTATTATTTTACATTATTCATAAGGCTCTTAAATTTAAATGCAAATAATTTTTTATGTGTACCGACTAATTAATGTGAATATGATAATAAATGTCGGGGATGATGCGATGATCG